CATTGACTCTGCAGGGAAAGAAAGGAAAGAGGAGGCGACGGGGGCCGGATGGCCGGATGGGGGTGGGGCACCAGCGCCCAATGCGGCGGCGTGCCGCATGCCCGGTTCGGCTCGGCCGCTGCGCCGTCCGTCCCGTCCGTCCGTAGCCTGGGCCTCGTGGGCTTTCGCGCTCCGCCTCCGATGATGATTCTAGACCGACCGAGCCTCGGTTAGGTGCCTCGCGGCTCGCACCGTGCAGCGGCAGCAAATTCGTCGGGTGCTGGGGAACGGACGGGTTTGGCTGAGCCGCCGCCACCTCTCCACGCAAGAACTTTTGTACTGGTGCTCAGTATTTTTTTTTCCCGGGTAGTACTGGTGCTCAGTATATCCGTGAAACGTACTCCCTCCGTTCAAAAATATTTATCATCAAAATAGATAAAAAAAGATGGATCTAAAACTAAAATACATCTAGATATATCTCATTTATCCATTTTGATGACAAGTATTTCCGGACGGAGGGAGTATCTTATACAGGCCGAGCATTTTTTTTAACACAGTACATATCTAGTATTTGACACACTACAATCTAAGTACTCCTTGTTAAAGAGTGGTTTAATAATATACGCTTATTTAAACAGTTGATGAGCAATGTACAACCTTTAACAAAATGTGTTGGATTGTGTAAAGATACAGTTTTATCATCCTTTAATAAATTGTGTTGGATTGTTGTAAAGATATGGTTTTATCGTCCTTTAATAAAATGTGATGGATTGTGTGAAGATATGATTACCCGCAAAAAAAATATGTAAAGAACGATTTTATCATCACTCCCCATTAACTCTATCACATACTCCCTCCATCTCATAAGTGTCAAAAATCGTCTTACAATATGGACGGAGGGAGTAGAAAGAAAAAGAAAAGGAAATAAGCTAGAGCACCAGAAGGCATGTTTGTTTCAGTTTCAGTTGGCTTCAAATCACCTATAAATTCGCTTCACTAGCAAAGTTGTTTCGCAAAATCGGCTTTCCAACTGAAGTACACTTTGCCTCTGCACCTCTATCAGTTTGTCTAGCAGGCGATGTTAGTGGTTGAAATGTTGATTTACTTTAGCTTCACAACAAAAAGAGATAATTAGTGAAAGACTGCGTAATTGACTAAAATTAGCCTTGAGCTCGGGCATGGCTGTTTTGGTTCTCGGGAGCATTTGCTTCACTGATGAACAATAAATTCAAAACAGGAAACAAACAAATTTTAAAAACTGAATTTTTCATTGTACATATTCATATGTTAGTGTCCAAAGTGTACATGACAAATTTTATGTGAAACGGAACAGTAGTTTTGTCAACAAAAAAATGTTACATAGTCAAGAAATGCCAAAAAAAATGACATCCGATTTGCTCTTTTTTGCGCAGATAGAAATGCTTGGGCATTCCACCTAAGCATTTGCAGATAACATTTAGACAAGAATATGTACATGTCTAATTTTTCACCTTTTTTACATTTACAAAACTATTTTTGGCGGGCAGAAGCAAATGCTCCCCAGAGCCGAATTGAATGTCCGCTTGAGTTCAGATGAACAAAGAAAAATATTCTACAAAAAAATATGAGGCTGATTGGTTTAAGGTCAATATTTGGCTAGCCAACATTTGCCAAAATCAAAAATTGTGAAAATAAAAACATTTGGCAAGAATTAATTGGTTGCCAACCAATTGATAGCCTACTTCTTTTTGACTCGCAGACAACTGGCATGCCAAATATTGGCATCAAAACCAATCAGGCTCATAGAGAAACTAAATTGTGGAGTGCGAGCTTATGGCTGCAGAGCTCCATGGAGCTTGGTAAAAATAAACATATTGATAAGTTTCAAAACAAATCCCTAAAAACTTGTATGTGTTTACTGCAGATTGTGAAATATTGTTTGAAAAGACTATAATTTGTAGGCTACACAGGTAAAATAAATTTTGGCCCAACAACAAAAAAAGCAGATCATTTTGAAATACATGTCATTTTTACGCTACATGTGAAAGAATTTGTTATAAATTTCACACATATGTACTACCTCCGTCCTGGTTTATTGGTCACCATAGTATTTTGTGTCAAACTTTGACCATAGATTTAACTAAGTAAATAATAATGCATGTTAGCAAAAATTATATCCCTGGATTCGTATTTGAACATAGTTTTGAGAGATATTATTTTTGGTTACACGCATTAACATTTTTTAGTTAAATCTAAGGTCAAAGTTTTGCACAAAATACTAAAGGGACTAATAAACCAGGACGGAGGTAGTAGTATATGTGTATGTTCATTTATAGGTTTCTCTAAAAAAAATCTGTGATGTATAAATACCGCATTTTAGCCCGCATTCCATTACTCCCTTCGTAAAGAAACATAATAGCATTTAAATCACTACTTTATTAATCTAAACGCTCTTATATTTCTTTAAGGAGGGAGTACCATTTTTCGCTAAATTGTACCATCATCTGAAATCCTACAGTAGCAATTATTTGAGCATCAGATACCATAACCATTTCATCTAGCCCCGGCGTGGCAAACTTGAGCATCATATAAAGATATCCGACCCAAGACGTAGCAAATTAGACATTACATCAACCAAAAGAGAGCTCAACTTCCTACCGCGATGTAACGAAGGCAAGTATATATTACTTAAATTTAAGGAAAGACTGCATAGAACAATTCATACCAAGGCCAACTCACATATTCCATCACATTCACATTAGGCTATTACACTACAAAGAATGCCAGAGTTGGAAACTCACAACTGCAGTAGAAGCAACCCCTGGTAGCCCTGTACATGTTCCAACCCCCTAATTTGAGTAACAGTTGGAAGATCAACATCTGCAGATACATATATGACATGAGGAAGGGTCTAAAACGAACGAACTAGGGCCAAGGCTGGCATTTTTCTTAGGAGTATTATTTTTGCTGCCTATCTAAGGGGCTCTTCAGACTATGGAAGACACATTCCATTCACTATCACTACTGCATAGGTACAGTTGGCCTGGGGAGTATGGAGTTGACAAGATCCTCGTTTATCTTCACGGGTAGTGGTGGCATCTGCTTCATGATCTCGGGGGCATCATTCATCCTGCAAGCATGTCGCGTGCAAATTATAACTTCACTTGATTCCTCTACGAATGAAACTCAGCCATCATGCTTATTCTTGAAAGGAAAAAATAATTATGATTTGAATCTTAGAATCCTTAACAATTTGAAGACAAAAAACTTTATGCAAATTAAAGGTCGATTAGATATGATGAAGTATGGCATTGACGGGTATGAGCATACGGTCACTTTTTTACAATGAAAAAAAGAAGACGAGCCCTAAAAGTGGATTTGATTAAGCGGACAGATATTGGTTTTCTTGAATTTCTCATGCCGCAAGAAACTGACCTTATAAGCCTATAAGTTTCTTGTAGCAATAGTAGTAACACTGACTAGCAGATGTTTCGCCAAATAAAATAAAATTGGCTAGCAGATGAATCCACACAAGAACATTCATCTACTGTGAACACACATATATGATGTGCCAATGTCGGAAGAAATGACAGTCCTAAAGACAAAATTTATCCTTTCCTTGTGTAATAGAAATTACTCTGTGCCTACTGATAAAAGTGTCAAAAGGATACTGATCAATACAGTGATGAATAACAAAAAAAGGCTTGAACTGATGTCATGGATTCATCATTTTCAAAATTTAAGAATATACGGGGAAAAAAACAAGGGAATGAAAGCATACTCTTTTAACACTTTGAGTATGTTACCGGATCAATACTTAATAACAAAGGCCTTAAACTGATGCCATCATTATTTCGAAAATTTAAGAATATAAAATACAGTATAAGGCAAGGAAATGAAATCATACTCTTTCAACACCCTGAGTATGTTATCTCGAGTTTGGCACAGCAGAGAGATGTTATCCTGTATCTGGAGATGAAAGAATTCAAGTAAGAAAAACAGTCTTCATTTGCAAGTGTGCATAAATCATCACCAAAATAGTCTTTAAGTTTTAAAATGATACCTGCATGGTGCCAAGGTTTGTTGAAATTTGACTTAAAACCTGGGCGTTAGTTTCAAGGAGTTCTCCTGTTGGACCTCCAATTGCTACAGAAAGGAAATAAAAGTGAGGAGATGAGCAACTTGGAGTCTAGGCCATCAATGACAATAGTCATGATATTTAAAAACTGGGAGATAAATCACTCTTGAACATAAAAAACATTATTCAGAAGGATAATGCGAGCAATAAGCATGTATGACTATTCTCAAAATAGTTTTTGACTTGACATTTCGAAATGCACAGAGATGCCAAGACCCATGTGACTATAGACTACATATCACCTAGTTCACATGCACAAAAAGTTGTGTTTGCTAGTGTCCTTAACCAGGTTATTGCCCGGACACCCACTATCAAGAAGAAATAAACAAAGCAAGCTGCAGTGGAACTGAATCTAGAAACACAACTCCAGTACTTCACCCAAATAATTCTAATTCCAGGCATCTAAGCCATACACGAATCATTTGAGAGCGATAACCGCACAATTCTCACCGGCATATGAAGGATCACATTTGTGTTCAGGATCTGTATCTAAGATATGAGAAATATGTGACCAAGATTATAACAACTGATCAAATCCTCCGACACAGGATATTAGATACCAAAGGCATAGGGAACTGCATTTCTATTGAACTGAGCTGGTTCCAAAACTGAATCAAAGTGGTGTTAATTGTAGAGTATAACCAAGATGCGTGTATCATAATGATTTTCTTAAGAATATAAACATGTCAGTTGATGGCTAATATGATGTTGGAATCAACGATATGAAAACATTTATTGAATATCAGCAGAACCAGTCCTACATCATGTAAGCAGGTTATTTCTTTCACTTCATGCAACACATACAGTCCTACATTGCAGCAAATAAAAACAAGGACCAAACTAGAGAGTCAACTGAAATAATTCAGCAAACATCAATATGAGTTACCTTTGGATGAAATTTCGTCATCATCAACGGGAAGTGCTGGGAGGGAGTATGGCGGAACACTCGGCCTTCCAGCTATATGAACAGGTGGTTTCGATGAAGAATCTGCAACCTTCTCCTGCAGCAGTGAGCGGCTGTCAGTTACAGGTTTATTCAAATTTAAATGAGGCGCATTAGCTACATAATCGTGTACAGCTGCCATGTGTGCGCTTGGGTAAGGGCCCTGCGGCCTGGTTGAGGTGAATGGGATACCAGCACAAGGGCAGTGGAGAATGAAAAGACTTGTTTGTTTGCGCTTCTGCTTCTGCTTTTGCAGCTTTTCCACTTTGGCAAAAAAGCCAAAAAAGCTCCTAAATAGGTGCTTTTTGCTTCGGCTTTTGGCTTATACCATCATATAACAATATTGATTCATAAGCCAAAAGCCGAAGCAAAAAGCCCCTATTTAGGAGCTTTCGTGGCTTTTTGCCAAAGCGGAAAAGCTTTGCTTATTGCTTGCTTTGTGACAGGATAACTGTGTTGTACTTATATAGCTGGCCACAAAACAAGATCTAATGTATACCAAAGATACAATCCATCTATCCAAACATAAAAATGCACTTAACTGACTAGCATACCTTATGTCTAAGTTCCTAACATGAAAGTATGAATCTTTTTTAACTGAAAACTGTATGGGAGGCCCCAACAGCAAATAAAATTAAGAAAAGAAAGTATGAATCTAATTCATCCACTTGTGTAACTATGGTGCCAGCAATGCCGCAGTCCTCAGCAGGACCTAGGAATGGCTACTGCTCTGATGCAGTCCCCCTGACAGACTTGGGTGGGCAGCCACACCGCCATGAAATAATGGAGCAGAAAGATTAGTACTACTCCCCCCGTCCAAATATATAAGTCCCCCTCGAATTTTGAGCCTAAGTTTGACTAACAAATATGAGTTATAGGCTATAAAAGTTAGGCTCGAATTCATAGTCAAAATTAGGGTCACATTCTAGGGGGGGCTTATATACATGGACAGAGGGAGTGTAAAACAATATTTAAAACTTATTTTGATGAGCTACTGCACTTAAAGGAAGTCAAAAAACATATTATGGGATGTTTGGGTTGAAAATCAATAGAGCAAAGGCCAGGCTATATTTGTACAAAACAAAACAAGTTCAATAAAAATAGTATGTATCTTCAAGCATGAGTTTGTGGTCTAAAGACCATCTCCAGTGTTGCAGGAAAGAGATTTGAAGCGAGTAATGAGTTGGTTTCATAGTTTCATACAATGGAGCAGGCATTTTGAAGCGGGAAAGCTTGAAGTCGAACCAACTTGTTGGTTAGATTCCAAGACAATAAATAATGAAAAATACTAGTGAGAACTTGCGTCGACCAGTTGGCTAGCTAGAGCAGGCTGAAATGCTCACAGCCTGCCGACCCGTGCTCAAGGCTCAGCCTCCGCTGGGTTGGTGTTCACCTTTCTTCTTAAAAAATGCACCAATGGCTAGTCTTGGTTGGTCGAATTTCTTTACAAAACAATACTAGTACTCCCTGTCACCTGTTAGCGCTGCTGCTATACTCTACGCTGCTATTCGCTTGCCTTTCCCATCAACATTGCTACCGCTGCTATTCTCTTGCCATTGTTGGTGATAGCGGAAGATAGGCTTACGAATTAAAACATTATGAACCTTAATTGAAGGAGGGAATAGTATGTATGGCCACCGGTGGCTAGCATCGAGATCATTTTTGGGCTAGCAGAGCAATTCGCCATCGCTTGCGGTGGATTTGGATGGTGTCCCGTTAAGTTTGGATGAGGAGAGAAGGAATCAGAGGGGGAAGAAAACATGGCTGGATTCCGTTTTGTTACCGTTTTCTTTAGTTCTGAAGGTAACTCCCAAACATTGATGTTATGCACTGGACGGAAAAATCTCAATGATTCCAATTGTAACCCTTTCTACTTCGAACCAACGCAACATTGGAGATAGTCTAACAAGCTAAATACTGGACATTAAGAGTTTCATTCAAGTTCAGAAAAATGTTCTGCCTCATACTCTGTTAATACGTGAAAGGAGCGTACATCCTTGCGTTTATAAAATGGATATTTCAATGTAACCACATGAAGTTCACATATGCATCTGCAGTGCATAGTCATTGATGAAAGTTTTAGCAGAAAAATTCCAACGCATAATCGAATATCGAAGAAATACTAGTAGAATAATATGCTCGAGTATTAGAGCAGATTTCTTGATTTCTTCCTTTGGGAAACAAACCTACAAAAAGTTAGTCGATCTGGAGGAACCACTCAAACTTGCCAAGCTATGTGCAACCAAATGCTGACATTTCCCAACTTGTTACAGCATTGATTTTTCTAGTTGCATTGTAACAGTCATAAAAATTGAGGAAAAAGGGAAATTGGCAAACCTTTTTGTCCTTGCTTTTCTTTGATGAGCTGTGGTCCTCTTTCTTTCTTTTACCACTCTCCTTTTTCTGCAGATTGAATGCATAGCATCAGATCATTGCTGAAACCCAGTAAGAGACTGGGTACCATGATAATAGAAATGCAAAAGGTGCATTCCAAGTCTATATTACTCACACTCATCCATCTACACCGCAAAGCCACATCTCGAACTGTTTTCTCTGGCAACTTCATGGCTATTTTTGCATACCGAATAACAGGTGCATCAGATGCATACCTGAGCAAATATCGAGGAACATCAATGGAACTGTGAGGTGCAAAAACTATGGTGCACAAAGTTAGCGAATTCATAGAACCCCTCAAATGTTGTTAAAACAGGGAATGCTACTTTCGAACCCAAATCAATCTTGACTCTGCTACCATTTTGATGACAACAAGGCGACTGGGTGCCTTGCGCATAGGTGCTTTACCACATTATATAGCTACAGAATAATGGCGTAATATACCGTGTGGCAGAATAAAGCATATCTATATGGACAGAGAAGAAAGGGTGGATAATATATATTCTGAGAACATTATTCACATGTCCAAATACCACTACCATTTCAAGAAGAAGCATATTCACATGTCAACCTGAGGGGGAAAGATTGATTAATCTCAACCCAGAAGGAGGCGGTGGCAACTTGTAATCTCCACTACATGATAACGAACCTACTTAACTCTCAAAGTTATCAACGAATTATAGCCACAAACGTCCGTAATAAGAACTCAAACCCTCCACCTCGTCCAAATTGACGAAATCCCCAAACCCGCGTAGCCCAACAACTCACTTGACGAGCAGCTCGTCGAGGATGGCCTGCTCCTCCGGCGTCCACTCCCGCGACAGGCCCGGGTCGTGCCGGAGCGCCGCCGCCGTGCCGCCGGAGCTAGGGTTTCCTCCCCCTCCCCCGCCCCCACCTCCTCCTCCTCCGCCGCCGCCGCCGCTAGAGTGGGACCCGTTCTGGGCGGTGGCGCTGGCGGGCGGCGGGTGCCCGTTGGCGCCCATGCCTCCCAATTGGCGCGAATATTTTGGCTCCCTTCGGGAAGCTGGAGCTGCTGCTTCTCAGCGAGTGTTGGGGGAGCTCCTGTCTCTCCTCTTCCCGCTACGAGTGGATGTGGGGAATAAAGAAGTTTTTTCCTTTTATTTTGGGGGTCTTCTCGATCTATTTGGGGGTTATATGTTGGAGCCGTTCGCACTGTGCGACCGTAGACAGTGTTTTCTTTTCAAAACTGCCCTTCTTTGCGGAAAACCAGCGACTTTTGGGGTGTAAAACCAGTGTTTGCTAGTAGTAACGTCTACCCGTAAAATGCGTATTGAATATAGGCATGGTATGCTGATATTAGATAGGATATTAATTGCATATTGATAGTATTAATGATATATTAATTATAATGCTCCGTTGTTTATGCTGATGTTAATATTTGATAGTACAGTACTACTCCCTCCGTTCCTAAATATAAGTCTTTGTAGAGATTGCACTAGGTGGACTACATACAGAACAAAATGAATGAATCTAAACTTAAAATGCATCTATATACATCCGTATGCGGTTTATAGTGGAATCTCTACAAAGACTTACATTTAGGAACGAAGGAAGTAGATATTGGTTGTACGGTAAACATGTTGAGTGTTCATCATTTGAGTAGTTTAGGTCGTTAGATTGACATAGTTTTTTTAGAGGATTAGATTGACATAGTTTGATGGTCGAGATTAGTCGGCTTTTTTTGTGTCCTTTTATTTTGATATATAAATATATAGATTTGTGTGGTTTTACAACTACTAGGGATGTGTTTGGTTTGTCAGTTAAACGTAACATGTTTGCGTCTGTAATAGATAATTCTAGATTATATTTTGTTTTGGTTGAGCTGTAATCTATTTACATGGTAGCAGATCCCACCCTAGAAGAAAATTGATTCCGCCCAAAATCGTGTGTAATGTAAAACGGCCTCACGCTTTATTAGTTATCTCTCCACGCGATTTCTTTTCCGTGAGTCAGTAACAAACTCCAGCGCAAACTCTGCAGCCCTGATCTCCTCCTTTCTCTGCCTGGCGAAATCGATGAGGCGGAGCTGTCGGGGCATAGTGGCGCACCAATGAGGTTGAGGAAAGGAACGACCATGGCCTTGCCGGCAAATGATGTCGACGAGCACTCGCAGGCTGGCTCAATGCCATCGCAACGGCCACCATGCCAGCGCAGCAGCTTTAGACGTCGCACGAATGACATCTCTTTGCTGCTTCGCATGTAGACATCATCTTCAGCTGTAGTAGACCACGTCACATGTCTCTTCAAGTCAACTGAGCCAACCTGTAGTCACAACAACGATGACGAGTCGCTCGGCCAACTCCACCATGTCGTCATTCGAACGACACCTCGGCACTGGCACAATAGCTGCTACAACCTGAAGCCTCCGCCATAGAGAAGGGGGTGAGACGTGAGAGCACTGGCATTCTTTGTTAATAGACGAAAAGTGAGATCTGTGTAATCGATTACGTTACATCCCAATTAACCAAACAGGTTCCATTTTTATCCATTATGTTTACATTAATAATGCTATATAACTACGTTTACATTTACATTCCTTCTGGTGTCCCATAGACCTCCTCAGAGTAACTCCATATATGACAGGTCCATGAATGATGAAAATGAACATAAGAAAAAAGAATTGGCAAAACTTGTTGAGTATCTTTTGGAGTTAAAAGAAATCCACTACTTGCAAAGATCAAGAGCAACTTGTTGTTGATTGAAAAATGGTGACCGCAACACTGCATCTTTTTCAAGCTTTTGCATCATCTAGGAGAAGGAGGATTTAATAAAAGATAATAAAGGATGGTAATGATGACATTTTGGAAGCTATGACAACATTAAGACCGCACATCCAGAATTATTTCATTAATTCTTTTACATCAGAGGTGCGGAGAGTGAACCTGTATATCCTATATACTTAAGAAGTTCACCCCCCCCCTATCTTATTTATCTAAACATGCAAGCTATCCACGTCATCATAGTGCCATCTAAGTTGTTCAATTATAATTACTCAATCTTTTTTCAACCGAACAGCCAGAATAATCTGACAGATTTTTTATAGTGTAAGCTTAAGCTTATTTTTCTTCCAACCAACACCAACACGCTTCCCCTTCCCAGCCTCTTCCCCTTCACGACCCTTCTTCTCCTCGCCTCAACTCTCTATCCACTAACTTCAATTTGACACACTCATGAGTCACGACCCCTTCCCTCCCATCCCCCCGTCATTATTTTTTCAGCTCACCTTCCACCTCCAGAACGCAGATGGCCAGCCACAACCATACCATCCTGCCTGGATTTATGTTCGTGACTCATCTACTGACTATAGGTTACCAATTCCAAAAATAGTGGCCGCGACGGCCATAAGATGAGCTTCACCGGTAACCGGCATCTACTATTATACGGACGGATGGACACCACAAATGCATTCTCCATGTAAGGCGTCGCCGGCAGGCCTATGCCCTTGCTGCCGATAATCGCCAATGTAATACTGGCTTCCTGTCAACTCTCCATCTTCCCCACCTTAATCTCCTCAGGTAATATTACTTCCTCCCAACTCACTCTTAAATCTCACGTATTATGTTTGTGTCAACAGAGTCTGCTGCTGGTTAGGCGTATATTTGTGTGGTTCCAAATTTTTGGCTGGGGTATTGCCATACTGCTCTACTTTGTGGCCATGGGAAGAGCAGTAAACTTTTTCAGCCCATGCGTCTCTCTTCCCTCAATTTTGTGAATATTTTTTTTGCTTGCCTTAATATTTTCATCTTTTTGGTAGGAAGAGACCTTTACCATATAGAAATTTCCCCAGTTTGGATCTGAATCGTGAAACCTCTCTTCGGAAGTCTTGAGCTATACATCCAATGATTTTTTATCTGATCCCTGTTTTAGTTTATTTTCGTTGTCCCATATGCTTGCAGGTGGGTGCAAAAGGCAGACAACAACTACCAGGTAGAAGGTGTTTCTATCTTCTATCAGATATTACATGTCATATTCATTAATCCAAAGCAACCTCTCTTGCTTCCCACAAGAAAAGCTAGCAACAAAAGAATGTTATTTAATTACTAATGCTCCTTATATATTATTACTACGTCAGTCTTTCACGGTTTCATCTGAAATATTAATTCTGCACTATTATTAGCACATATATATTTGGTCTAATGGTATAGACCATTTTCTTCGCAAACCATGATATTATATAGTTTCCCACATACTTTTATATTGATCCCAGTGATCAGGTCATGCGTGCTACCTTACTGCAGGGTCATTCAGTATTGACAGGTAAAATTTACAGATCATCCTGTTAGCTGTGATGTGATCTAACGTTAATGTCATGTATATGCGGATATCAGCTCATTCTGGTTTCCGTAGACAATGTTCGTTTCTTTACTTATGTGCCCAGCGTGCATTCTTTTCACTTGGAATTATGTACTGTAGTTCATTTGTTTCATTTGTTCTCACCTCTCGATCAACTATCTCCATTTGTACCCTTCATAATGTTTGTTTCTTTTATTGATGTACCCAATATGTATTATTTTTATTTGGGATCATAGACTGTAGTTTGCTTTTTTTTACAGCAGAATAAAATGGTCTGGAAAGAAAGACAACAAGGTGAGACTTTGCTTAACTGTTGATTATGTTCATAAAAGCCTATAACTATCTTTGTTTGTACATGTCATTTAGTTATACAAAGGCCTAATTTTTGAGTAATAAAGAGTTATTTCACAAAAAAAAGACATCTCTTTTTAATCCTTCCCCTACAAGCTTGCCACGGGATCACAATCAAAACTACATGCTCCATTAATACTTCGTCTCCCCGCTTCACATCCTTTTTACGATGTAATTTATCAATCCTTTGGCATATTATATTAATTAGTTTAATCAATTTTACGGCCATAGATAATTAGATATTTAATCATGATTAAAAAGTTGTGTATGCAGATTAGTACCCCTTTTGACTCCCAATGATTTATTCATTCCCACTAAAATATCGAGAATTAACTAAAAAATATATCATTTTGCAACTATTAAACTATGCATGCTAAACTTTCCTTCGTTTTTCTGTGGCGGCAAACTTTCGTGTGTTTCTTAAATCAGAATATGTATAGAAGTTATCGAGGGGGTATGTTCTATTTTCTCAGTATGTCGATGAGTGCCCATACTATATGCCTTGGAAAATGCCCACCTCACCATGCATGGAAGAAAGGTCCACCTCAGTAATTCTATACAATAAATCATATATATTTCTTGGGCCAGTCCTCATATTACTAATTCAAATATTAATTTTTCAAACAATTAGATTTCATCAAAATATATTGCAATCAGTTCCTGCAGCAACACGCAGGGCATTATCTAGTTATTTAGAAAGTCCAAACCAAGGTATAGGATCAAATGAATGATGTGTTGATGGCACCATTCACTCGGGGTGATGTTTTTATGCAGTTTTTAGCATTGATAGTTTCAAGGCACCAGGTCTGAATGGGCTTCATGCAATTTTATTTAAGAAGTTATGGCGTATTTTGGGAGATGTAATTACTCAAGTGGTGTTGTTTGCTATTAACTCAAGGCAAATACCGGTTGAACGGAATGATACCTCTATTGTTCTTATACCTAAGATTGAATCTCCTGAGCTGGTAACGCAATATAGGCCTATTAGCTTATGCAATGAGCTTTATAAATTTATCTCAAAGATGTTACCATCAAGATTGAAAATTAGTCTGCCAGACATTTTCTCTCCTACCCAGAGTGCCTTTAACCCATCAGACTTATCACTGATAACATCCCTAATACTTATGAGCGTGTCCATAAGATTAAAAACAAAAAATTAGGGCAAGCAGGATTATGTGTAGTGAAGTTGGATATGCACAAGGTTTATGACCCTATATAATGACTTTTCTTGAGGAGCATGGTGCAGAAATTTTGGTTCCATGGACAATGGATCAAAATGATGCTGGCATGGGTTAGCTCGTCGAGGTATAAGGTGGTA